CCTTGTCCTAATGTATTTATTGTTATATCCAGTATATCTATAATACATTTTCTAGGATGTCATTTACATATGTTCACTGCAGACTACTGTAGAGTCATTCTAGTCAACCTGGCTCTCTACAGCACTGAAGAGATAAACTCCTGATGGACTATTTGGCTAATAAAATATTTGTTATTTGTTAAAACCTTCTCAACAGACTGTATCAAGACATTTTAGTCCAAACATGGCCATGTGCCCACTAACTGGCCATCTTGTGTTGCTAATGCATTTGTAAGTGTTATTCTTTTGACTGCAGAAAATACATTGGAACATCATTCCCTCAGGAAAATGAAAGATGTGTATTTGTGATGAACTAGGAAATAGTGGCAGAGACTGTGCCTTCATCTCATTAACTTCCCACTCATAAACTCAGATAAATTCTTGCTTTTAAACTCTAGTGGGCTTTTGGACAAATTGTCGGCAGGTACTATCTGAATAACCAGCAAAACTACTTGCTTAATACTCTTGGAGTCCCATATATGGATGCAAATTTCCCTGCTCCTTAACCCCAATATTAGAGGTACCCATTTTTTAAATCCTGGTAACTAGTCCCTCATTTAATCCTTAGACTACTTACTACTCTTAGTGAAGCTGTTTATTGAAAACAATAACTTCAAAGGGAAAAATAGGAAAGTTTAACTCAGAACTAGTTAATATCTAACTTACACTTATCCATTAGAATTAATTCTGCATAGTTGATGTTGTAATGATTAATAATTACTTTTTATCATTTTTAGCAGTATACTGGGGCATTTTATGGTTATTCAGTGATAGTTACAAATAGTTCATTCACAAACTTTTTTTTAGACAACAATATTTATATTTTGAATTCTACATATCTAGGTAATTCTGAAGTGGATAATTTTTATAGCTCATGACTACTCATTGGGAATTTGGTGTAAAAATGCTGGTGTTATTTTTATAAGTATTTATTTAATAGCTATTCACAAATGGCAATGCCTAACATACAGAGCTTGCTTGCTCCTGTGTGTTCTCTCAGTGCCAGATTTATTGGACATAAAGGCACAGAATGAGGGGATTTCAACTTATTAGCCAAGATTACTCTTTCAAAAGTCAGAGTCTATTAGTAAGAGCTGCCTTGATCTTATCTGAAAGGAGAGAACATCTTTTGCCTCTCATTTGTTTTTATATTCCCAATAAACAAGGTCAATGACTTAATCTACCTTTTAAGGCTCATTAGGAACAGTTAGAAATTTGTTTACCCATTCCTTTTCCTTGTCAGCCTCTTACCCTCTGCCATTGCCTTATCCATAGCACCTTCTCCCAGGTCTGCCAGTATGAAGGGATTCTTTGCTTAGAACCCCATGATGTTCTCCCACGCCTTCCTATGGCATCCCATTCTATCAAGCATTCAGGTTCCTTATCTTTACATGTCTTCTAGTTCCTAGTACATTTTGTTTTCTGGAGAATGTGCTGTTTCATCCTAGCACTCACATATAAACAATTGTCTTGCTACATTCCCAGGAAAATATATTGGTGTCTTATAGCCCTTCCACAAAAGCTGAAGAATTAGCTAAATGAAAATAACAGATTTGCAAGTAAAATAGTTAAGCAATTATTTAATTTAGGTAATCTGATTCTGTTTTCCATATTCATAAAATAGGGTCCTTTAGCAATTTACAATCATTTATGAATTTGTAAATTCAATTTTCTATACACTACAATAATTTTTTATTTATGAATCTTGATACAGAAGTTACTATGTGCATAGGCCAAGGGATTATCATTCTCCTATTATATAGATGAAGAGAGTTAGGCACCAAGAACTTGGCCTTTTGCACAAGTATACAGTAGAATTGATTTCACACCTGGAGTCTAGCATTTAATTACAGTATTGCTGCCTCTCTTAAAACCAGGAGGCTTGTTCTTGTCACAGATCTCCAGAGTGTGCTGTGGAGTCAAGTAGAAATAAAGTGAACACTTTTCTGAGAGGCTATGAATTTCCAGGGCTAGACTTGACTGTGCAAACTCAAAGTATTTTGCAATGCAAATCTTATTTCATGGAAGAATTTAATAGTATTGGTGTATTACTTTCCCTATTCTTTTTTATTTAAAAATGTACAATTATTCTAATTTTTTTGTAAATTGGGTCCTTCAATTTTGCCAATGGGCAGTTGGTTCTATGGTTCAAAGGGCTAATTTGACTCAGCTCTTCAAGGGCAGTTGTGTGTCCTTGTGAAAATTCCCATCAAAGGGGGAATGGCAATTTTCACAAAGGGGAATAATAAGATTTCTAAAATATTTAATAAAATAACATGGTTGTTTCCAATGTAACTTGTCAACAAAGCCAACATTATCATAAATCTATCACACCCCTCAGAAAGCACCACCTTAGAACACTTAAGACTACACAAATGAAATGATATAATAAAGAAAATATTACATTTTTTTTGGTTTTTATGAGACAGGGTTTCTCTGTATTGTTTTGGAGGCTATCGGTCCAACCTGGCCTCGAACACACAGAGATCCGCCTGCCTCTGCCTCCGGAGTGCTGGGATTAAAGGTGTGTGCCACCACCGCCCGGCAAGAAAATATTACATGTTAATGGACAGTATTAACTTAGTAAATAGCCTCAGTTCCTTATTCAAAGCTTTAAAGTTCCACTGGTGATCTTAAGGAACAATCATGTGTCAAACTCACCACATCTGTTCTGAGATGTTATCCAATTGGGTGCTATCCAATATACAACGTTTCCTCTAGTGCGAATCTCTTACTTCATCACTGTAATATTTGAGAATATAGTTGGGCAGCTACTTCTTTTAGAAATATCTATATCGGTGGTTCTCAACATGCGGGTCATGACCACATAGGGGGTCACACATCAGATATCCCTCACATTACGATTCACAATAGTAGCAAGATTATAATTCTGAAATATCAATGAAATAATTTTATGGTTGTGGGGTCACCGCAACATGAAGAACTGTAATAAAGGGTCACAGCATTATGAAGGATGAAAACCTCTGCTCTATTAAAATGGCCTAGAGTGAATCTTAGGCTAAGGAAGATAATCGGAAAATATTATAAACTGACAGCTGAGAGTGTTGAGGTAAGAAGTGTAACTTTCTGTGGGTCTTAAAAATCAAAGTTTTGAGAATCTACATGTTTTAGGAATTGTATTATTTTCTATATATTATTGCTACTCTTTTTATTAATAACTTTCTTCATTACTGTAGCCACTGATAAGTTGCCTTTGTTCCAGTAAATAATCTTCCACTCATTCTCTTGCCAACAGCTCTAAGTAAAATCATTCATTGGGTCACATACACGAAATATATCAAAGTGGTGGTAGGATGACCTGTTGGGGAAAAAAACCTGTTGGGAAGAAACAGGTTTCAGTGGGACAGAGATGGAGGGTAAAATGAAAGACAGACAGACAGACAGAGAGACAGACAAACACACACACACAGGCAGACACACACACACACACACACACACACAAAATAATCTGGAGTTGGAGGGCAGGTGCTTTATATTCATTTTCTCTAAATTGAAACATTCTCTCTGGAGGGAGAAAGGGGCTTACAAGTCTCAGAAAGCAAATGAAACAAGGCAAAGGAAATGAGTGAGGCATGGGAATCTCAGGAAGCTCCTGAAGATTAGAAGATTCACAAGGGCCCTCTTTTAGCTGTTATGAGTAGTCCTAATACTTTATGGGGGAGAAGAGACTTTCTGATTGCTCAGCTCTCTGCAAGTTGTTCAGATGGCAAAGGGCTATAGCTTTCACAAATAATTTCCCATGCCAGGCGGTGGTGGTATTTTTTTCCTTTGTGTGTGTGTGTGTGTGTGTGTGTGTGAGAGAGAGAGAGAGAGAGAGAGAGAGAGAGAGAGAGAGAGAGAGAGAGAGAGAGAGAGAGAGAGAGAGAGAGAGACAAAGCTGCCTTTGAGTCCTTCATGTTCCTTTAGATAATCCCTTGCTTATATATCTGGAAGTGCCTCTCAATAAAACCAAGGCTTCTTTGTGGTACTATCTTGTTTGTACTCTTAACAAAGAAAGCTTGCCTGAAGATAAGATGGTGGAGACAGCCATTAGTTAACCATAGACGTCTGGAGGTCTGTACAGACAGACAAGAAGTGATATGGCTGGGTGGGGAGAGGAATTTAAGGCAGGAGGAGATAAGAGCTCTGTCTCCTTTTGGTCTGAGGATTTCACAGAGGAAAGAACTCTAGTGGCTGGCTGCTCTGTTTCTCGGGTCTTTGAGTTTTTACCCCCTAATATCTGACTCTGGGTTTCTATTACTAAGACCAATTAGAACTGGTGTTACACTTCTTTAATATAGACTTAAACAGAGTCCTTTTTTGGTTTGTTATCAGTACCTCATCTGGAGTACATAGATGCTGGCTAACATCTACCCAAGAATAGTCACTCAATACCACTCTGCTGCTTTCCTTTTGTGTTTTGTGTGTCTTACTCTAGCTCACCTCCATGGGAAAAAACCTGTTTTACTTACCTTTCTGTGTCTGACTTATTTTACTCCTCATGCTGTAGACTTAACATTTCCCTTACAGAAAAAACCATGATGGGAAAAGTAGATACCATAACCCCTGCCTTTAAACTCAGATCTGACACAAACTTGACTCAGAGCACAGTTTCATGCTGTAACACTGGAGCATAAATCTTGAAAGCTCCTATCATTCTGAATCTGGGGACTTTTTTATCTATCCCATTCTCATCTTATTTGATGTCCATTATTTCGCAGGTGAGATGGATTCTCCCAGGGCCTTTTCCCATCTTGACAAAGACGCTTAATTAGGGTTGGTTTGGGATTACTAGGGATTGCATGGTAGGCAAGCACTACATCATTAAGGGGCATAACTTGCCCTGATTTTACCTTTATTTTAAGATATGGTTTCACTAAGGTACCCAGGATGGATAGGATTTGTTCTGTAGTTTATGCAGGTCTTAACTTTTTAATTGTTTTATTCTGCCTCATGAGCAGCTGGATTGCAGAGATGTGCTCAGGCCGAGCTTGAAGACATTTCTGATGGACACATTTTTGAGGTGAGTTGTTTCTGGTGTACAGAGGTAAGGAGTATGTGAAAGTACTACACTAGGCAGGTCTCATAAATATAGACACTTTTCCCAAGTGTCAGCAGGAGTGAGACTAGGAAGCCTTACTCTGGAGACACAGTTTAGAGTCACCGAAATGGTGCAATTAGTCTATACAAATTGGTCTTCCTTGGGCATGTGCTAATGTTTCTGGTGAATGGGCTTTTCAATAGAGTTCAGCCCTAGCCATAGTATATTATAGGAATTGCTTTGGGAGTTAATGAAATACAAAGAGCTATAAAAATATCTTCAATAAAATTCTAACAAGATTTCACACATTGTAATTGAAGGATAAGAGGGTGACAATATTGCTTTCCAGATGCAAAAAATATTCCCCACCTATTAAATTAACTTTTTTTATATAGTGTGAGTGATGATGACAACTGTCCATCCTCATGGTGAATTTACGTTTCATTGAACTATGAAGAAAACAGAAACTATAGAATACAGAATATCTTTGTTCATTTTCATTCCACTTGATCAAACACATGTCTAAGACTATAAACTGTATTAGCAATGACAAGCTATCAGGAATAATTCTTCAGAGGCTATTTATCAGATGTACAAATCTGATGAGGCAGTCTAGAAAATTCTCCCTTGTTTCCTTTTTAATGTTTCAGCCACACATATTTTCACATTTTTAGCCTTTCTAAAACATTTATCTTACAATGCAATGTACTTATAGGCTAAGTAAGTCAGGCAGGAGCCTTGGTGTATTATATGAAACACACGTGATCTGTAACTAAAGAAAATTTTGTTGGTGTCAGTGAATCTTAATCATTAATCTGGTTACTTAGCAGACAATCTCACAAGGGGATAATTGACATTTTATGAACACAGTGGGACTCACAACCAGAATGAAAGGAAGGCCAGCGCCCTCAACTCTCCATTTATATTTTGATAGATTCTTCACAGATATTACCATCTCCTCATGAATTATTCTAGAAATAATATGCAAGCAGTTAGGATATGGAAAGTGTCCAGGCTCCTGAGACCTGAAAAGACTAATCACAGCAACAGAATGCTTTCCCTAGACACCTCTGCATTAGAGAACTGTAAGCTTGTTCCCTCTATAGAATGGAAGGTCACTGAAGTTCTTCTCTCTTGTATCCTGCTACTTACAGGCTCTTCAAACATGGGCCAGGTATCTATCACCCTTCCCATTTCCATAAACAGGAAGATATATAGGTAAGTAAGGGTAAATGTATAAATATAGACACCTTTCTGTAATGACTCCCAAGGAAAACCTGTAATAAGGGAGCACTCTAAATACTTAAGTGGTAAACTCTGCATCCAGAAGATTCAGAGACATATCATTTCCCTGCCAGGCACTTCCACTACACTTCCAAAATCTGCTTAGTTACAAGTAGACACACATTGAAGTTGGACCAGTGATGGATGACAATTGCATGCCATAGGATCTCTGCAGGAAATAATTTGGTGGAGATCTGTTGCAGAGTATTATTTTAACTGGACAAAGATATGCTACATTTGCTTATGCTGCAGAATATTACTTTAACTATGTTTGTTTGTGCTACATTTATTTAATAATGTAAAGATGTGTTGCATTTGCTTCACCTTGCCTGCCTAAGGCAACTGACTTGTCTAATAAAAAGCTGAATGGCCAATAGCTAGGCAGGGGAGGGATAGGTGGGACTGGCAGGCAGAGAGACTAAGTAGGAGGAGAAATCTAGGCTCCAGAAAGAACAAGGAGGAGAAAACAAGAAAGGAAGACAAGGACATGTCCAGGACCAGAAGCCAGGCAGCTGCCAGTCAGGCATGAGAATCAGTGAAAATAAGATACACTGAAGGAAAGGTAAAAAAAAAAACCAAGGTGAAATGTAGATGAAGAGAAATGGGTTAAATTGTAAGAGTTAGCGAGAAAGAACCTAAGCTAAGGCTGATCATTCAAAACTAATAATAAGTCTCTGTGTCATCATTTGGGAGCTGGTTGGTGGCCTTACAGAAAGCTTGCTAAAGAGATCAGACCAGATTTAGGTTAAAAGCTTCTGAGACTGGGGTAAATATTGTATTCAGGGAGCAGTCACACCAAATATTGGTTTAACTATCACTACTGATTCTTGTTCGCTAGCAGGAGCAGACAGGTTTTTCTCCTTCTGAAATGCCCTGAAACTCAGTAATATCTGATATGGCAGGGACTAGAACAGCCTCGGTGAGACTCCAAAGAACCCTACACCAGCAAGCATTGGACAAATGATGTACTATACATATGGAGTGGTTGAAATGGTCTCTTTATAAAAGTTTCTTTGCCTTTACCATGGAGCAAGAGAGAATGGGGTGCTGCTTCACATTATTTTCACCTGCTCTGAATAATTTGTGTGCACAGACACAAGGAATCAATGTTTTATATGCTGTTGAAGAACTACTGAGCAAAATTAATATTCTATAAAAGGTAGAATAAAATGACTAATTTGTATACTGTAAAGTGTTAAAATTTCTCTGATGTTTGATTTTGATAAAATTTCAATACTTTCATCTACTAAGAACTCAGCACTGAGGCTTCCTCTGATTGTTTACTTGCCCAGGGCTTCTGTCTAATTATACATATTGAACTACCCAGTAGTACTCACATTGACACTTGGAGCCAAAGAAACAGAACAGAATAGCTGCTGGCAAAGACCAGCAATTAATTTTCTAAATAAAATGAGAAATTACAAATTTAAAAAGTACATAAAACTGGCCCAGTTTTTTCTAACTAAAGCTTTTACACAAGTTTCATGATTTTAACTTTTGAAATACTTATGTGCTTTTGTGTTTTCCTTTGTTTTTTAAAATTGCAGTACAGTTTTAAATCATAGAACTATAGGCTTTTTGAACAGAAGTTAATGAATAATTGGGAAGTAGTAATAAGCACAAAAGGAAATTATGAATGATTTTATACTTTTATGCTGAAATTTTAGAAACAGTTTAAAAAGTGAAATATAATTTGTTGGTCGCCTATTTAGATTTATTTTATTTTACATGTATGCCTATTTTGCCTGCATGAATGCCTACGTATTGCATTCATGCAATGTCTATGTAGTGCATTCATGCAATGCCTGTAGAGTCCAGAAGGTGTTGGAGCCTCTGGAGCTGGAGATACAGGTGATTATGAGTCACCATGTGTGCTGGGACCTGAGACTAGATCCTTGTGGAAGAGCAAGCAGTCCTCTTACGTTCTGAGCCATCTCTTCAGCTCTGAGTTTGCTGTTTCTTACCATTCTGTTTTATGATAAAATGATATATTTTCAAGTGAGCTAAAATGGCTGGAATCATGTATTTCAAACTTCTTCTGGATGTGTGGTGCTATACAACATCAATGTCAACAACCATATAGATGTCACTCATCTGCTCCAATCACCTACACTGCCCTGCCACTACTTCGTCTTTCATAGACAGGAATAGATAACACTAGGCAAAAATGTTCTGTCTCCTAAAATTCAAATGTGTCAACGTGTCCCTACATTTGGTCAATTTTACAAAAATTGAGCCTCTGATTTGTGCCATTTTGCAATTCCCATGGCATAAATACTGACTTCAGCTCACACAGTGAAGTCTCTGAAAGTAATGTTGGTTATATCTGTATCTAATTTGTTCCCATTTCTCAAACAGTCCTATGCTTTTGCTACTATAATGAGGCTATTCATTCATGGACAATCTCTAGATGTAAATTCTCCACTGCTACAATTAAATGTTCCCATCTTAAATCATCAATTTCTTCAGTCTGGGATGATTTTTTTTACCAGAATTCACTGGTTTCACTCTATGTAGAACTTTTAAGATACATGGCAGCATTTCTTACCTCCTTGGAAGCTTGAGGGTGCTTAGCTGCATCGACATGAAAGTGAGCATCTCCTTCTCAGTCACCAGCTGTGATAAACTCATTGCAGAGGGCAATGAAAGCAAAATTTGTGCTTTCTATAAGGAGTGCATGATCACAGAAGTTGGTGCTGATGCTCTGGATGAAGAGGGGAAGAACTATGCTGTATGAATCTGTAGTGAGAACAACAAACCAGGTCTTCCCATGAAGCAAGTTGTCTTGATCCATGGCAAGAGTGTTCCTGTTGTTGAGTAAGGGTCATTCTTGTTACAGACCAAGGAGAGCTGGAGCCAGAAAGAGCAAGTCTGTGTGAGGATGCCATTCTGAGTGTTCTTAATTTAGTTGTAAATAGGGAAAGATGCTGACAGATACTACTGTGCTTCAGTGGTTGGGATCCCAAAGAGCTCGCTGAAACTGCACACTTTTCAATCTTTCTAAAGAAGATGTCAGCTAATATGTTGTCAGAAAACCCTTAGATAAAGAGGTTAAAAGCCCAAGACCAAAACACTGAAGATGCAGTGTCTTGATACTCCACATATTCTGCAAAACAAATGTGAACACATTTCTCTGAATAAAATGCATCAAGAAGAAAAGAAAAAAGGAAGGAGGTTGCAGAATATGCTCATCTTTTGTTCAAGAGGATATAGGAAACCAAAGAAAACTGCTAGGAACAGATTGCCAAGTAATGTACTTTGAAGACCCATGAAGAGTGTCTACTTTTAAGTCTGAAAGTCTGGGTCTAGTAAAAAAGTAAAACTGAAAAGAATAAGAGTAACAAATAGAGCCTAGAGAAATGGTTCATTGAACATTTGTTATTGCAGAGGATTTGGGTTCAATTCCCAGCACAAAATGATGGTGTACAACCATCTGTAACTGCACCCTCTTCTGACTTCCATGGGCACTAAGCACATATGTTGTGAACAATCATACATGCTTGCAATATACACACATAAAATAAGACAAATAAACCTTTGAAAAAATATACAAGTGTAGAAAAGAAATGATAAGACTTTGAATACAGTGTGACCTAGTAAAAGAGTTTTTAGTTGGAGATAATATGACTACAGCGCATTACATACAATATGGTACTGTTTTTTTAAGTGAAAAGAAATGGGTCACAAGTTATAGATCTTGAAAGCGATGATATACAAAGTTGGTTACTGGATACAGGCTCTGAAGCTGATAATGTGCTTCTGGTTCTGTCCATGACACTCTGATTCAACATGGGCTAAGACAGAAATAACGGCATTTGGAGGTTGCAGTGCCACAGACTGATATACCTACCCTACCATGAGCTGAACCATCCATGGTATGAGTCAAAATATACTCCCTCTCCTGTATGCTGCCTCTGGCAGTTTTTTTATTTTCTTTTGCATGTATTAATGTTTTGCATGCATGTACATTTGCACACCATGAATGTACCTTGTGCCTGTGGAGGTCAGAAGAGAACATCAGATATCCTGGCACTGGAGTTAAAAGATGGTTGTGAACCACCATTCAGAGGAAATGACTGTTGAACCATTTCCTCAGCCCTATTTTAGGGATGTCTGTTGGAGTGATGAGAAAAAGTAACTAACATAGCATATGGTTTAATGTTACAATTTAATATTGAGTTAAATCTGTGGTTATTGATAGATGAATGCACTAACTCTAAGTGATCCACAAGGAATAAAAAAAATCCTTTAACATATTCCTGTTCATTCTTTGTAACTTCTGGTAAATGATTTATCAGGTATTTATCTAAATTTACTAAATAATCATTTGCATATGACTGTAAATTTAACCTATACAATTTTGTATACAGTTTGTGGCTTTAAAATACTGAGAATAGATATTTGAATACCTCACTTAGGTGATCCTTTCTTTCTTCGTGCTTCATAGACATGCTCACATATATCTTCAGAACTGATGTTATCCACTTTGAGGTTATCATACAGCATTCCCTTACCACCTCCACCTTTAGACACTAACGGAGCATAAGATTTCTCTGTAACTCTCCTTTCTTCATACTGTATAATCTCCTCTCTTGATCTAGGCCTGTCTTGAGGATTCAGTGACCAATAGCTGACAGGCCTTCAGATCTCATTCTCCTGCTCAAATATCTATTTTGCAATTCAAAAAAATCAAACTAAACTACTCACCACATGCCTCCATTTCAATATCCTACAGGTATTTCAAAGGACAGGTACAAAGTCAATATGCCTTCTCTGGTTCTACACTGGTTACATTATTATTTCTCAATTTTGCCTATCTCAAAAGATAGTGCTATCCTCCATCCATTTGGAACACCATTTCTCTCCTTTGTCACGTTCTTTCTGAGTGGTCTCTCCCTGTTTTTTTCTTCCTCAGTGGCACCTTTCACATGTAACCATGTTCATAACAAACAGATGTTCTTGAGATTTTTCTGAGCACTGGGATTTAAGGTACTGAAGAAGTGGTTGGTGCACTCCTTTTTGTTTCTTGCATGACCGAAGGCAACATCCAAAAAGAAAGCTTTATTTTAACTTATAGATCCAAAAGGAAAGAACATAATGATGGGAGGAAAATATCAGCAGGCAGCAGAGACAGTGAACCAGAAGTATGAACTTTCAAACTCCACCTCCACAGGATGTACTTCCTTCAGCAAGGCATCTTGTCCCCAAAATAACACCACTAAATAGGCATCAAATGTTCAAATACATCAGTCAATGGGGATACATCCCTCA